GGGGTTGCGGGATGACGTTCCCGCCACCTGAGCCACGCCGGCCAGGGCTACCACCGGAACATTCTTTAAAAAGAAATTTTTTTTTTAAGTTTATTGATTTGAGAGAGAGCGAGAGGCAGGGAGAGAGAACGAGGAGGAGAACCATAGCTTTGCTATTTCATGCATTCATTGGTTCACAGACTCTATGTGGCCTGACCAGGGATCGCCCCACAACCCTAGTGTATGGGGATGATGCTCCAGCCAACTGAGCTACCTGGCCAGGCCGTGAGCGTTCTGTTCTAAACTGACTGATACGTCGGCCCTCGACTTAAAGAAGGAACAGGGCTCCGGCTGGTGCGGCTCAGGGTCTTGCACACCCACCTGGGAACCAAAGGGTCACTGGTTCGATGCCCAGTGGAGGGCACGTACCTGGGTTGTGGGCCAGGTCCCAGCAGGGGGCGCGCGAGAGGCAACCACACATCGATGTTTCTTTCTCCCTTTCTCCCTCGCTTCCCCTCTCTCTAAAAATAAATAAATAAAGTCTTTCAAAAAAAAAAAGAAAGAAAGAATAGGGATGCATTTCCAGACACAAAACCCTCTTGAATTTGCCCGATAGACTTTGTGTCTCTATTTTTTAGCACAAAAAGAGCAGCCTCTGACGTGGGGGCCTGCAGGCGGCGCGGTGCCTCCTGGAGGCAGGCCTCTGCCCGGGGGCTGCAGTCGCCTGGGGCGCTGGCTGGCATTTAGGCAACGCTCTTTAATGCGTCAGGGAAAATCGCCGTGGCATTAAATCAATCAGCAAAGTGCTGGTTGGAAACTCTGAAGAAAACCCTTCCTGATTTCCCGTTCCTGTTCTGAGAGCTGCCCGCGGCGGGGGACCGCCGGCGGTCTGTTCAGCCTCAGATTCTGTGTTCCTGTCTCTGCTTCTTTCAGGAAGGGGCCCTGGTTGGGGGGCAGAGGTGGCGGGGGGTGCAAAGCCCTGTAAATTAAGGAGGCTCCGTCCAGCAGAGTGCGGCTCGCTGGAGGATTTACGCAGCCCCCGGGGCCAGAGCGCCGGCCCAGGCCAGAGACACCTGAGTCAGTCGCTGAATCACCTGATGGGAGGTTTCAAAGGCCGCCTGACTCATTTTGCAGAGGTGAGAGGCACCGAGCTAAGTTGAGGAGTGATCGGGGGCGGATGCATTCACGTCTCACAAAAGACATCTTTTGTTCTTGGACAGGATGACTCAGCCTCACAGAGGCGCAATGCTAATCAAGATGCTGCCAGGTATTGTCTGGAGCTAGACAAGTTGGTGGTGCAGGGGTTCGCAAAGCGGTCTGGAAGGGTCTTGGGAAGCGTGACATCGCAGGACAGTGGGAACAGGGGGTGGGGGGGGGAGCCACCAGGTGTCCCGACAGACTCCAAGGTCCCCGCGGCGAGCGGGTGTGGCAGGAAGAAAGGGGCCGCTCCCCCACCCCACCCCCGGGACTGGGACGCCCAACTCTGGGAAGACGCAGCGCCGAGTGCCGGCGCCGCGAAGGAGTGAGCAGCCAGGTGTCCGCACGCGGGGGGAGCCCGCCCGGCCTCGGCCCGCTGGCGGCCCCCTGGCGGGCGGGCTGTGACGTTTTGCCACCTCACCGACCACAGCCTGGTGGTCACCGGAGGGAAGGGTGGCGGGGGAGGGAGAAGAGGGTAGAGGGGGATCAATGGCCCTGGAAGGAGACGCGGCGGGGTGGGGGCGGTGAACACACACTACAACATACGGCTGTAGATGTGCTGTGGGATCGCACCCCTGAAGCCTACCTAAGTGCATTGACCCGTGTCACCCCGACAGAGTCAACACAAACTGAAAGAAAAAAGAGAAGCGAAGCCATTACCATAGTTGCAGCCTTGTGCATTCTCCTCAACTGCGTGCACACACGCACGCCACGCAGAGCCCTCTCCAGGCTCCTGTTTGTGGCCGTGTTGTCAGTGACACGAGGAACCCTCTGTCACGTTTGCCTGTTGGCCTTTCTCGAAACCACGACCGGACAGGCGGGAGCGCTGGGCTGTGGTTCCTGCCTGCGGCGTGCGGCCCGGGCCCGGGGACAGCGCCGGGCGCGGGCACGGGCGCGGGTGTCTCCCCTACACGCCCACTCCCCGCCGCCGGGCCTCCTTGGAACGTGGGGTTGTCCCAAAATACAGACGGACGTGTACGCTCCTAAGACAGACCGTCGTTGTCAAACAGATGCTATTTGGGGACGTTGCAGAGCAGCCCCTCTGCCTGGGAGCTACAAGGGCCCCCCCCTCCCTCCCCCGTGCACACGGACCCCCTCCAGCCTGGGGCCAGGGCCTCCAGCCCCAGGCAGGGTGCCCGGTCAGGACGCGGCTCGGGCCGCTGTCTGGCGCCAGAGGGGAGGTCTGGGCGTGCCCGCCTTTGTGAGCTGGACCCCTTCTTCGCAGCCCGCCGGGCAGCTCCGACTGGCTGTCAGTGGGGACGGCCGCCTGCACGGCTCTGGCCGGCCGCCCTCGCCAGCAAGGCCACCCCCCGCCCCCACCCGAGTGGGTGACGGTGTTCGCTGCTGTAATGAGCACCTGGACGGGGCAGTTTGAACACGAGTTTCCTCCCTCCCCCGCCTGGAGGCGGAGCCCGAGGCCCAGCGGTGGGCAGGGCCAGCTCCCCCGGGGCCTCTTTCCTGGGCGTCCAGAAGGCTGCCTCTCCCTGCGTCCTCACCGGGCCGTCCCTCTGTGGCTGTGCCTGCGTCCTCATCCCCTCTTCTTATGAGGACACAGACCCATGGGATCAGGAACCCCCCCCGCCGCCCCCGCCATATGGCCTCATTTCTCCTTAATCACCTCTAAAGACCCTTCTCCAACACAGTCCCGCTGTGCGATCCTGGGGCGAGGGCTTTAACAGTGAATTGTGGCGGGGGCATTTCCGGGGATCCCGGGCACCCCACGGCCATTTCCCGGGGAGCTGCCCCGGGAGATAGAGGTCAGGAGGCAGAGGCCACCGTGGCGGCCGTGCGCCCGTGGGGCGCATGCTTTGGACACAGGGCAGGGGAGGCCAGAGCGCTCCCACGCGGTCGGGCAGGCCCTGCGGCTGCCCACGGAGGACGTCGTTCTCGCTGCGCCGCGGAGGGCACGCCCCCACGGCGCGTGGCCCGTCCCCTGTGTGGCTCAGAGGCCGGCTGGGAAGGAGGGTCGCCAGCCTGGGAACGGGGAGAACCTAACAGGAAGACTCCTTAGCCCGGAGGTCCAGCTGCAGAGGCCACGGGCTGGGGGCGGAACTGGGGGGCAGGCCCCCCCAGGGCTGGGCGCAGCAGGACCCCCTGAGCTCACTGAGCACCCCCCCTGCTCGGAGGAGGAGCCTGATGCGATGCCCAGAGACCCCGGAGGAGGGGCGCGCTGCCGGGGCGCTGAGACCCACGGCAGGGGGTGCTGGCCCTGTGGGCGGCTCCCCGGGGGCTCGGAGGCCTCTGCCCTGAGAGCGGCCGGCCGGCTGGTGCCGGCGTCTTTAAGGGCCTAGCGGACACCAGCAAGGCTGGGAAAGCCAGCCCGTGGAGCCCACCCTTTACTGGGGTCACCTGGGCGCCCAGGTGAGGAGCCAGGTGTGGGGACGCGGGCTGGCTCAGGGAGGCCCCGCCCTCGTCTGGTCCGCAGCGGGGGGAGCTGGCAGACTGCGCCTGCGGCCCCTCCAGCGCCCACGGGGGGGTTGCCGAGCGAAGCCGGTCACGAGGCGGCGGGAGGATCGCAAGCCCCGGGACCCTGGAAGACAGCAAGGCCGCAGGGGGCACTTGGGCCAAGGTGAGCTGGTTTCTCTGTTAGTGATGGAGAGGTCAGCCTCAGGTGTCCTGCCTGCTGGGTCCTTCTACTGCCCTCCCTGCAGCGGGGAAGGGAGGCCGGGGGGCGTCTGTGTTAGCGGCCCTGCCTGGGGGCCTGGCTGCCGCATCCCTAAGCAAAGGGGGCTCCGCGGGCCCGCCCGGGAAGAGGCCGGTGCTGCTGGTGGAACCTCCCGTCTGGGGACGGGCCTGGGAGCGGCCGCTGCCTCTGCCCTAGCAGCCCGGAGTGAGCCTGATGCAGAGATGTTTGAATTGCACCCTAGACACCGAGCTCCTTCAAAGCCGGCCTCTTCTTCCTCATCCCTACACGGGGCGGGGGGTGTTCGGGGCTGTAACAGAAGCCGGGGAATCCATGCGTGGCCGCCCCTCCCCCGCGCACGCGTCTGGCAGAGCATGTCCACGCAACGCGTGTGTGTGTTTTAAGTGACATCTGGGGACCGCAGAATACCTATTGAATAATAACAGCAACAAGACGTATGTGCCTTAGGAAAATACTAATAATTACCTCAGTGGGACATTGAAACTACTATTAGATTGAAACTACTATTTCTCCAACGAGGTGTCCAGAATCCTGGCGGCGTGGGGGAGGGCGGGGGAGCCGGCCGAGGGGTATCTGAAGCCACCAGACTAATGTGGGATGTTCCCCCACAGCCTGGCTTTGCGGAAAAGTTTGAAGGAGAGAAATCTTTTTGTAACAGTTAAAAGCAAACACTGAAATGAATGAATAGAATAAAAAAAAAAAATGTCACGAGGACTTGGAGGTGGCAGAGATACTTAAAAGTATCCCGCCCCCGCCCCCGCCGACTCTGATGTTGTCTCCGCATGTTTTTGTTCTCTGCTGTGGGGCGCCAAGCGAGGCTTGGGGAGCGCGCCCCTCATTCTGACACGAGAAAATAGCAGCACTCGCTGGTCTCGCTGCTTCCAAGCAACAGAGGGGAAGGTAACTCAATAGCGAACAGCCTGTATTTTAAAAAGCTTGTGGGTGTAGCATTTCAAGTGACAGGAGAATTATCTAAGGATGTTTCCAAAGAAACGCTTGAATGAATCTGCTTCCCGAGATAAGCGGTCTGTACTCAGCGTCGTGACTAGACCTCCCCGCGGGAGCGTGTAACCCGCTCGTGGTATTTTAACGGAGGCCCTCCTCGTGGGACACGCTGGACGCCGCTTCGAGCCCCAAATGAACACAGGTGTCCTGGTTTTGAATTCACGATCAATATCGTTTATTACATACAAAAGAACACATTTGCCATTAGATGCATCGTCACGCTCAAAGAGTATCACAATATCTAAGTTTTAAATTCATGCATTCAAGAGATCGGGGGCCTAGCAGAGCGGAGGCAGTTTTTGGTCAGGCTTTGTACAATGACCTGGGTTTCATGTGATCATGTAAACACAGCATCCTCACCAAATGGTCTTGCCTCACCGGGGGACCGAGGTGTCAGCTTGTGCAGGACCGGGGCCCCCTCGGGCCTCGTTGCTGCCCTTTCACCTCAGTGACCAGCGCGGACCTCAAGCAGGCACTCATCAATAAAAAAATAGCACTTATCAAATGATTCTGCTATCCCCTTAAAGTGCACGTGTTCGGTGAATATGCCATCGTAGCCCTTGGTTAAGGAGTCAACAACTGCGCAACAGCTGTTTTCCTCTGAACTCAGGATTCCAGGGTGAAATCTGGGTCCAGCAACATCTGAATAGGTTTTGTACAAATGAGAGAGAGCAAATCAGCAAGCGCGGCGGGGTCCCCCTAAGCGGCGGACGTCTCGGTGGGTTGGGAACGGTTGTTTCAAAATGGAAGGAGGTGTCTGACTTGACCGTGAGCTCCTGTTCCGGGACGGCGGGTTGCCTTTTAGGACAAACTCACCAACGAGCGCTTCTGCCGCGCGCATGGTTGCGCGGGGGCGTGTGCCGCGCAGACGCCATGCGCGCGCCACGCACACAACCGTGGAGTCAGTGGTCACTGGTCGTACGGGTGCAGCTGTGGACGTCAGCGTGTTCACAGACAAAACACTTTGTGGTCAAATACTGGGACACACACAGTACATACCAGGGCGCACTAACCGGGGCCGTGGGAAGGGAGGGGGGCCGCTCCGCAACACTCGGCATGCCATGCCGGGTCCCTGCCCCCGGGGGTCCCGTCCCCCTGCGCCGGCCGGCTTGCTTTCCGCCCTCCCTCCCGTTGGCCCTGGGGGATTCTGTGGGGAGGAGGAGGGGAACCATGCAGGGCTGGGGAGAGGAGAAGGCGCCCTGGGAGTCAGTGGCTGATGGGCACAGAGTGAGAAGCAGCAGAGAGACTGGTTAAGGGGGGGGTCTCCCCCGACCTGCCCCGAGGAGGCCTGCCTTCCTCGCAGCTGGCAGGGGGAGGGGGAAGGCTCTAAAGACAGCACTAGGGGACTTGAAGGACGGGAGCCTTAAACTGGGCAGGGTGGAGGGAGGGCGGGGGAGGGGTACGGACGGGGCGCACAGTCGACAACGAGATTTCACTGGGTGGCGGGAGTAGCTCTTTCGCGCCCCAGGGCGGCGGCTTAGGAGTGCCTGCAGAACAGGCTCCTGAAGGCGCTGTTGTAGGTCTTGTTGAAGGCCGTGTAGATCAGGGGGTTGAAGAGAGAGTTGGAGTAGCCCAGCCAGAGGAAGATGCTCTTCCAGACGGTGGGCAGGTCGCAGGCGCACAGGGGGCTGATGAGCTCTGTGGTGAAGAAGGGGATCCAGCAGAGCGCAAACACCCCGATCAGGATGCCCACCATCATGGCGGCCTTCTGCTCCCGATGCTCCCGCCACGAGTCCCCTTCCGAGTGGAAGGTGACCGTGCCTTGGCGGACGGAGAACACCATCTTGGGCTCATTCTGGAAAAGGCAAGCAGAGGCGGCGTGAGGGAGCCAGCGATTCCCTGCCCCCACGGGCTTCTGGGAGGGCCGGCCCGCCATGGGGAGGCGCGGCAGCGGGGGCCCCTGCGTGCGCGGGTGGCCGCGCCTGCCCCTGTCCCCGCTCCCTCGGAACAGCAGGGCCCGCCGGCGGCCATTTTGGCATCTAACGAGGGAACGAGCACATCAACTCGTAATGAGTTAAGAAACAACAACAACAACCAATTCGACCCGAAGAGCTTTCTTTTAAAAAGATTGATTACACCAGACGGTGAGAGAAGATAATGAAAAAGACAAATCTGTGGCTACAGACGACATCTGAAAAGGCTCGAGGGAATGTGAGTTTTATTTAATGGAAACCTCCGAGCCGTGAAAACCGGGCACCGCCCTGCATGCCGGCGTGCAGCCGACGGGCCGGTCCCGGTCAGGAGGGTGGGGGCTCCTGCCTGGGACCCTCGGCGGCCGGGGCCTGCCCCCCACAGCGCTGGGTCTGGAGCGCCCTTGCGCTGGGCGCACCTCAAGCCGCTCCCAGGAACGCTGCTCTGGTCCTGGGTCCTTGAAGAAAGAACCTCAGACAGAGGGCTGCAACGAGGCAGACGGCACGAGGGCGCAGGCTTATCCCCCCAGCGTTACCTAGGCTCTGCCTTTTTGCACAGACAGAAACAGCTCAGGCCGTGGCCCGGGTGGACTCAGTGACCCCGTGACACCCAGCCAAGATGCCCGTCCCACTAAAGCCACCCTTCACCACCCGCCGACGAGGCTCAGCCTCCTCGCCTCCCAGGAGGGCGGGCATCCGCTTGAGGGGCCGGCCGGTTTTCAGAACCTGCAGGGAGCCTTTAAATCGTGCGCTGCCACGCGGGCTAAGACCCTCGTGCTGACAACAGCCACCCGGCATTTTTCTGCTCGCGGGCTCGTTGGGAATGTCTGGCACGTCGCCTTTCTCCCATTTGCACCGCCAGTTCAACAGCCTATGACTCACTGTCTAATCCTCAGCCAGAGGAAAAAAACCTGTCTCATGATTGCGCTTCTGTAATTGAAGAAGCGTCATTACCCCAAACAGAACCTGGACACCCTGGTCCCGAACCCTAACACCCAGTCTGAAGGTGGGCGTGAGGGTAAAAGCAACCCGATCTGATCTAGTCTAGTCTCTCTGATAAAGTACAGTTTTTCTGTGTTTTTTGTTTGTTTGTTTGTTGTTGTTGTTGTTTTTAACAAGAAGCCACGGTGTTGAATGGCTAAACAGGTACAACTGCTCAAACAGGGGACAGGTCTGTAAACTACGAACTGCTGTGTTTTGGAATCATTCACATCTTTAACTTGTGACTAAAGCGTCACTGAGCCCTGCCTGGGTGGCTCAGTGGGCTGGAGTGTCACCCTGCCCACCAGAAGGTTGTGGGTTCGGTTCCCTGTCGGGGAACATACCTCAGTCTCCGGCTCGACCCTCAGTCGGGGCACGAATGGGAGGCAGCCAGTCGATGCCTCTTTCTCGCAGCCACGTTTCTTTTCCTTCTTGTCTTCCTTCTTCTCTTCCTGCAATCAACAGAAACATACTTTTGGGTGAGGATTGGGGGGAAAAAGGAAAGAAACGTCATCTTTAGACGTCCTTTAAAAAAATGAACAACAAATCCATGTTCCTTGACGCTGGGACGCTCCTGGAAATCGCCCTCGGGGTCCTTGGAGCAGGTCCAGGGGCAGAAGCACACCGTGCGCTGTCAAACCAAGGACCTGGGGACAGGCAGGTGGCCCCCAGAGGAGGTGGCTGTTTTGACAATGCTCACAGACAACATACCTGCCACGTGGCCCAAGTTGATTATGTCCCTTGGACGGTGCTGGGCCCTCTGGCCCAGACAGAGGTCACTGTTCACGTCTGCCCAGAGCAAAGCCTCTGCAGCCAGTAGGCCCGCGCCAGGGCGTGGCGTGACCAACCCGCCAATGGGCGCTGGGGGCTGCGTCTCCTCCCAGGGGGGCCAAAGAGGTGAAATTTCTCAGGGAAAAGCACCCAGGGACAGTGACCACCCATGAGAGCTGGGTTTCCGTGTAAAAGGAGAAATGCTGACAGTCGGTTGCACACCCCGAGCTCTGGGCGCCCGTGGAGGTGGCTGGGCCTGGAGACCCAGGCCGGCAGCCCCCCCTCTGGCTGAATGGCAAGGGGCTGCCCCACAGCCGACGCCTCCCGCTCAGGGGTAAACGCGGCAGGCAGACGAGGCACAACAGCCTCTGTGTAAGTGACCAGACAAGGCAACGAAGCAGCTTGAAGCTTTGGCTGGATGAGTCCCCAGAGTGGGGGAGTGAGAATGAAGTGTTTCCTCAAACTCAGGGCAGGACCCTCGGACGCTGGCTGTTGCCCCGGGACGTGTCCTGTGCCGGGGCTCGCTGCCACCCCTCGGCGCCAGCCCCTCCCTCCGGAAAGCCGGGTGGCCGGGGTGGACTCACTGCCCCGGAACAGCCACGCTGGTCACAGGAGGAGGGCGACCCACTCACGCCTCGGAGAGCCCACCTGTGGCCTCGTTTCATCGCTCTGGGACGGGGACAAGGACCAGGACAAGGCCCACCCCTCACGAGCCGCCGGCCCTGCCCCAGTGCCGGACACGGGCGAGGCGTCCCGAGTGTGTCTGCGCCAGCGCCCAGCAGGGGCACACAGGGCGGGGGTGCTCTGCTCCCCAGGTGGCGTGGCCAGTTTGTGGTGGGGCTGTATGGGGGGCACTCTGGCGCCTGCGACCACGGCAGGATCAGGAGCCTGGGTCTGGGGTTAACCCTCCGCAGGGCCACGGGGACAGAGGTGGCCCCGGGGGCCTCGCAGAGCCAGGGGATGCGTTTTCCGAAGCTACCTGGCAGAGAAAGAGAGAAGAAGCGAAACAGCGCTAAACGTATGGACTGAGGAGCCCAACGACGTCATGGCGCTTTGTTTCTGTCGTCTCTGCAGCGGCGCAGCGCGAGCCCCGAGCTGGGGCTGCAGCTGCTTCTCCCTTTGCCAGCATGTTCCGTGCTGCCTGTAAGTGGGCTTCACCTGCGCAGAGGCGGAAGCGGGTCCATGTGCGTAGGGCCACGTGAGGGAGGGGGCCGGCACTCGGGCCCCTGCCCTGCGATCGGGGCGAATTCCACGCCCCCGAGCCCTGGGTGGTTCGGGGGCGCTCTGGCCCATCCGCCCTACGTGTTCTGCTTAGAAATCTGATGGGTCAGGGTCCCCCAAATCCGGCACTGTGGACCCTTTGGTCTGGCTAATTCTTTGCTGGGGGGAAGGGGGTGCTGCCCCGCCTGCTTGATGTGCAGCGCGTCGCTCCTCCAGGTCGGGGACCCTGAAACCCGAGCCCTGGCAGAACGGCTCAGAGCGTTTCTCTTCCCCCCAAAGATGACGTTTCACAGTTTGCACCTCGTTCCAGTAGGTTCCATGACCCCGAGACAGTGACGTGTCAGAAACAAGCACGGGCCTCCCCCTTGGCTAGAGCCCCACTGCGGCCCTGCACACGGGGGTCCCAGGTCTGTGTGCCCCAGGTGCCACGAGCTCCCTCTCCCCCCGTCCTGAGAATCCGAAACGTGCCCCAGCATCCCCCACGTCCCCTGTCGGGGGCTGGGCACGATCAGCACCGCCCCCCCCGCCCCCCGACTGGGACCGTTGTTCTAGATGAAGCGGGGGCAGCTGCAGACCCCTGCCCGTGCCTTCCCCGCACCCGGCTCTTCTCGGCTGGGCTCGCTGGCCCTGCTCGGAATTAGCTGTGACGGCCACCCCAGAGCTCCCTGTGGGGGCTCTCTCCTTCCCCCCACCGCACTCTCCCTGACAACGATGGCGTCATTGTCATTCTGTCACCCCTTGCACCAAGCCCAGACGTGCTCAGCATGCCTGACTGAGGCTCCGCTGCCGCCCCAGAGCCCAGGCCGGAGAACGGGCACTGCGCAGACACCAGACCTCATGTGGGCCTGAGAATTAGGTGTGAGGGACCGTCCTGGGCCCGGAGGCGGGGGCCGGGGGGGCTCCCAGGCCCACGACCACCGGGTTTTGAAGCGTCAACAACTGCAGAAAAGTGGGGGTGGAGAGAACATGACAGAGGAACCCTGACGGTTGAGGTTGCAGTTATCACACATTAAATGCCACTTGTAGAGGGGGGGCGGCTGGCCCCCCTGCTGCCTCAGGGTGCCCCCTGCAGCCCGGACCACGGTGCAGGGGGGCAAACAGGTGGTCCTCCAGCTCGAGGGGGGGGGGGGGGGGCGGTGGCGCAGGCAGTGAGGATGGATTACAGAGGCTCTGAGTCCCTGGAGACACGCCTTCACCTCGCCGGGGGAGACGCAGCAGCACTCTGCAGCCCCCGAGGCGTCTGATGTGCAAAGGAAGACAGGAACCGGGTGGAAACACGCACCTGTGTTGCCTGGGGTAGGGCCATCTTGCTGCCAAGTCGGGCCTCCATCTGTCCCTTCCCTCTGGCTGGAACACCCCCCTGGAAGGCCAGGAAGCTGCCAGACCACCCCCCACAGCCCCAGACACCAACCCCTCCGGGGGTTTTGAGTCTGAGAGCCAAACAGGACCCTGTAGACAGCCCAGACCCCTCGTTTTGCACATAAGGGAGGTGCCCATCACACTGGTGAGGGAGGGCATCAGGGGCACCGACTGGGTCAGAGCAAAGGAAGCCTGACGCGTTCTTTTGGTCTCCCCCTCCCCCCAACCCCCTGCCCTCGTCCCTCCCGCCCCCCCCCCCCGAAAAAAAACCCCTTTAAAGTTCCACTTTCTACACACTCCCGGGGAGGTGCACCGGGCATGAAACCGGCCCCGATGCTCCGAGAGGGGGCTCCCGGGCGCCGCGATACCCACCTTGCCGGCGTCGGCGGTGGGGCGCACGCAGTTGTTCTTGCGGAAGCCGGCGCGGCACTTGGCGGCCCGGTAGATGCGGCAGTAGACGAAGAGCACCACGAACAGCGGCAGGTAGAAGGCGCTCACGGTGGAGAACACCGTGTAGGAGGGCGCCCGGCTCACCTGGCACAGCTGCTCGCTCTCCGAGTAGGTCTCCCCCCAGCCGAAGAGCAGCGGCGCAAGCGCGATGACGGCGGAGAGCGCCCACGTCACCGCGATCAGGACGTTGCAGACGCGCCTGCGCACGCGCAGCGTGTAGTCCAGGTGGCGTGTGATGGACCAATAGCGGTCCAGCGCAATGGCCGTGACGTTCCAGATGCTGGCGGTGCAGCAGAGCACGTCACACGCCACCCAGAGCTGGCACAGGCGCTGACCCAGGTGCCAGCGCCGGCCGGACAGCTCGTGCACCAGGCTCAGCGGCATGACCAGTGCGGCAACCAGCACGTCAGAGACGGCCAGGGACGCCACCAGGTTGTGCGGCACGCGATGGAAGGTGCGCACACGGGCGATGGTCGCCAGCACCAGCAGGTTCCAGGCGAACGTCGCCGCCACCAGGCAGCCCAGGAAGGTGAGGACCAGCACGCCCCAGACCGAGTGGAGGGGCTGGCTGGGGCGCGGGTCTTCTGCGCCCTGGCTGAGGTTGGTCTCCACCGGAGTGGGGGTGGCGTTGGCGGGGCAGGTGAGATTCTCCAGAGACTCCATCTCTGGGTCTGGAGACCGGCCCTGGGTGCGTGCAGAGAGGGGCTCAGGAGGACCGAAGGTGGTCACTGCGCTCAGGGGGCACTCCGGCTGTTTGCCACCTCTGGCCAGCAGCAGGGCTTCTGGGGAATGCCTGCGAGCATCTGAGGAGATGCGGTGCCGGAGAGGAGCGCGCTGGGCTGCGCGCAGATGCAGGTCTGAACCCCTCAGAGGCTAGGGGAGCAGAGCCCGGGGGCTGCGTCTCTCAGCCAGGGCCGCCTAAGCTCTTACATGCCCAGAGCTCTTCGCCTCGGTGGAGACAGCGGTCTGGTCACCCAGAGCCGCGCGTCTCCCAAGTCGTGAGAAGCTGAGCGCTGCGGAGCGTGCGTGTGGCTGCTTGGAAAGGGTGGTGCGTCAGAGCAGGACTTCCAGGCGCGCAGCCGGTCTGCCCGCCCCTCTCTCTCCTCCCCCCCCACTCCAGACAGCTGCAGGCGGGACCTGCCTCCTGCCGGTCCCCCGCCCCCGCCCCTCTCGGCAGCTCCAGAGGGCCCGCCGGGACCTGACTTATCAAACTGGGGGTCCAGCCTACGTAAGACATCAGCTGATAAGGTCGCCCCTCCCCGCCGGGCGTCCGGAGCGGCCGCCCTGGCGCTCTCCGAGGTGCTGCCGCCGCTCGCGCCCCCAGCCCCCGCGGCGTGTGGTGCTGTCCATGGTTCTGCCGCTTTCCCCCCCGAAAGGAGTTTTCCGCGGGGAACAAGTTTCCCACTGAACTTTCTGTGAAACCCTCCTGCAGCCACCCCTACCCACGCCCCTCTCGGGGCGACCTGCGCGCCCCGAGCGCGGCCTCAGCTTCCCATAAGTGCTAGTCCTCAATGCAAATGCTCGAGTTCAGGGGCGCCGGCCTTTCTTCTCCGCAAGATTTCAGTTCATTCCTGCCCCCCTCGTACAGACCCCCTACCCGGGGCTTCCCTGAAAGGGCTGTTTTTCTTTAAGGAGAAAAGGCAAGATCTGAGTTCTTGCCGTTCCTAGAGAGGCTGACGTATGGGAGCCAGAATGTTCCATGCACTTTCTAGAACCGCAGAGAAGCTGCACGGACTCTTCAGTGGGCTCCACCAAACCTGCTCCCAGGCAAGGGCGGGCTGGAGGCAGGCTGTCCCGAAAGCGCCATCTCACTGAAAGGGGCCCAGCGGGCCTTTTCCCCGCACACACTCACAGAACAGCACACACATCCGCAGCCACGGAGAGACCATCCGAAGCTCCTGCCTGGGAGGTATGATTTGCAGCGCTTCGCAGAGAGAGAGATGTGACGTGGCACCATAAAATACACTGGAATAAAAGATGAGACGACACGAAGGAAATAAAGTGGCATTAAGCACTTTAAATTTTCATTTTATCCTCACCTGAGGACATATCCATCAATTGCAGAGAGAGAGAGAGAGAGAGAGCGGGGGGAAGGAGAGAGAGAGAGAGAGAGAGAGAGAGACAGGTTTGTGAGAGAAACATTGATTGATTGCCTCCTGCGCGTGCCCCAGCAGGCGACCGAGCCCTCAGCCTAGGTCTGTGCCCGGACTGGGAATAGAACCCACCACCTTTCAGTGTGTGGGACGATGCTCCAAGCACTGAGCCACCCCGGCCAGGCTGCATGAAACATCTTTAAGTGCATACAGTGGGTGTCATGAAGTCCTGCACACGTGCAGTTGGCTGGCCACGAATTTGTCCTGAAGCCTTTATGCTCTTTGAAAGGGGGAAACGTGTGTTACTGCAAGATTCGGTTTCCACTGGTACAAAGAGAAACCACCAGGACCCATCAGAAATGATACTGTTAGGAAATGTCGAGGAGAATGTTATTCATTAAATACAAGATGACTTGCAGTGACAGTTCACCGAATGTTCCTTAAAACTGGTGGGTTGCGGCTGCACATGTGCGGTGCCAGCGTGTGTCTCTAGCCACGGGGAAGACTTGCGCTTGTTTCCAGCACCTCATCTTTTTGGGGTCACAGCACCCCAAGATATCAACTATGAAACCTCTCCTTTGGAAAAAAGGAGAGCAGTTCTCTGAGCAGTTCTGCAGGGGTTCGTGTTTCCGGGTCCCTGACCTGCAGGGATGGCAGGCCTGGGCCGTGGGATCTCATGATAGGAACCTTCAGAGGTATCCTGGGCTCGCAACCATATTCCCCGCCAGCAGGGGGCGGTGCGGCAGCCTCACTGGGTGTTAAGTGAGCCGCTGTCTACTCCTGGCGGGACCAAGCCAGGGACACCTGAGGACGCTCTGCGAAAACTGGAGCGCCCCAAAGTTAACAGCCAAGCAGGATGCTCTCAGGAGAAAGCCGTCCATCCAGGGCAGCGTTGCCGGAAGAACGTAAAGTCTGTTGAGAAATTCGGGTTCATCTCCTACAGACCCAGAGGAAAAATCAGAGCCTTCCAGTTTTATATCTCCAAGCGTGGCCACGATTTTAGCTGTGAAAATGGAAACCGATGCAAAACGCCCACCAGCCGGGACGTGCCTCCGCAATGCCGGCTTCGAGGAACGCAGTTTCCAGGTTGACCACCTATCAGCGGCATTGTGCCCCCTCTCCCTCCACGTTCATACGCTCAGGTCCGGATTGCGCACTTCAGAATGCGGCTGTATTTGGAAATAGAGTTGTCGTTATTATTATTATTAATCCTCACCTGAAGATCTGTTCACTGATTTTAGAGAGTAAAGAAGAGAGAGAGAGAGAGGGAGAAACATCGATCGGTTGCCTCCTGTGTATGCACCCTGACCAGGGATTGAACCCGCAACCTTTATGGTGTGCGGACGACCGGCTCCAACCAGCTGAGCCACCCAGCCAGGGCTGGAATAGGGTCTCTAAAGAGGTGATTACATGAAAATGAAGTGAATCGAACTAACTGCGTTTTTAATGAAGCACCATTTTTATTTGAAAGAACTCTCCAGAGATAAGCTATCATGACTCAGTCTTAGGTAGCTGGCGGGTATTTTTCTCAAGACAAGTGAAGTGAGCCATCACTTCGTGGTAAACAACTGACAGGATCGGTGAGCCATCCTCAAACCCGAGCTTCAAAGCGGAGACCGGGATTTTGGGAGGCATCTGCTGCTGTGAACCTGACAGCTTCCCGAGACTTGAAGACCTTTGTGATGAGCTTGATCGTGATGTGAACAAATGTGTGTTGTTGTTGTTTTTTTTTGATGCTGCATAATAACAGACGTCCAGACCCAGAAGATTTGAATCTGGTTGATTCAAATGTCCAAATGATCCGGGGGTGACGGCATAAAGCTGCTGAGGCTAAAAGAGCCGTCTCAAAGGGCGAGACAGACCGCTGGATTTTTAACTCAACAGAGCACAAAAATGTGCATGATTTCAGATTCCACACCGCAACAAACCTTGAAGAAACTGTTATGTATTGGATTTTGAAATCCCATCTCAGAAAAACATGTGTAACTACCCAAAAAGATTACTGAAATACTCCTCCACCTGTTAGGCCCTGCGGTTTCCTGGGTGGTGCAGGCCAAGGTCAGCCCCGACCTGAGTTCTTCCTGGGGCCACTGTGCACGAGCTGTAAAGCCATCTGAGATGCTGGTACTTGTGCTGGGCGTGGAGATTCCCAGGCAAAGAAGCCAAGCTGTGAATCTAGGCTGGCTGCCGCTAGTGCCAGGCCCGGGACCACTTCGCAAGCGGTGGGGGGGCTGGAGACTCCCTGAGGCTGGCTGCTGTTTGTTTGAGAGGATTAAGGAAGTTGTAAAGCAGGAGCCAGACCAGCATTCATATGGAAAGGTCTCTGTTAACAGCCAGCTGGGTGGGCCTGTGAGTTGGGTGGGACAGAGCTGCCGGGATCTCCAGGGCGGGGCAGACAGCGTTGGCCAGGCTGGTGGAGACTCAGATAGGGCCCCACCTGCTGGCTCTGCGGCTCTGCGGGAGGGGAGGGCTCAGTACAGGGACCGTGGCCTTTCCGTGTGGGAGAAAGCTGTCCTCCAGCTCTCACCTTGATGCCAGACACCTCGGTTCCTCCCTGGGTGCCACCGATGCCTTTCAAGCAGCTACCCAGTGCTGGAGCTCAGAGGGCATGCGTCTGAGTAGGTGAGTCTGTGAGTGGGTTCTTTAGGGGCAACTGTTTGGGACTCCAGAAGTTTCTTCTACCGACTCAGTCCCTGCTGGGTTTTGCAGCCGGAAGTTATGGGAACTTATTTTCCTGGCGCTGGAACCCTGGGCTGGGGGGGGCCTAGTGTGCGGCTGGGACCCCTCGTGCCCGCGACATCCCTCCTGAATTTTCACCCACCACACGTGCCTGTGGGTCCAGCCTGCTTTGTGTCTCCGCCCCTCCTGCCAGTCTGGATGGATGTGGTTTCTTTGATTCTGTGTTTGTCAGATTCCCATTCAACTCGATTTCCGATGGTTCTGAGCGACGGTTGTTCTGCGGTTGTAATTTTGGCGTGGTCGTGTGAGGAGGCGAGCCGTGGTTACCTATGCTGCCATCTTGACCGGTCAAAAAAGCTGTTTTAAAGTAAATGTTTGTTGTTTTTTTAAATCATTTTTTAAAAATATATTTATGTTTAGAGAGAGGGGAAGGGAGGGAGAAAGAGAGGGAGAGAAACATCCATGTGTGGTTTCCTCCTGTGCGCCCCCTCCTGGGACCCGGCCCGCAACTCGGGCCTGCGCCCTGACGGGGAATCCAACCGGCGACCCTGTGGTTCGCAGGCCGGCGCGCCGTCCACTGAGCCAGAGCAGTCAGGGCAAAAAGTGTTTTGAAAACAGTTATTTTCCAGAAGGACATCATTTATGTCAACACACAGTGGGTTAGTTCTCTTATTTGTGATGCGTTAATGCCCGAAGATGTTCTACATTTTTCATGTACATGTTATTCCTGTAACTACGCAGAGATAAAACCCACGTAAACAAAACCTCTTTGCGATTCCCAATGATTCTGAAGACTAGGAAGGAGCCCTGAGACCGAAAGGGTCAAAGGGCACGGTTGCAGGGTTCATTGGAACGGGAGGGGGCCCCCATGCGGATGCAGAGCGCTCAGGG